GGAAGGAAGGTCGCGAGCCCTGCCTACCCGCTCCAGGAACCACTCGGGCCGGCTGCCCAGGCCGTCGATCCGGATCCGCATCTTTGTGAACGGGGCGATGTCCAGAATCTCCATGAGGAAGGTGTCGTTCTGCTCCCGCTCAAACCTGGGGAGGCAAGGAGGGCCTAAGGCGGGAGGCTGGCCGGGGAGCGGGCCGGCCGGCGCGGATTCGGGCGAGGGGCGAAGATGAGGCTTTCACTCCGTGCCTCCCCACTGGCCATGCTCCCTTCCCGATGGTCCCTGAAAGGCCGGCCGGGTGAAGAGGGTTTGGGGGTGAAACAGCGCTGAGCCAAGAGCACCCGGCTCTGCGTTCTCATCTCATTCCCCTGGTTGTCCGGGATGGTCTCAGCTCCCCTCTGGCACCTGGCTTCCTCCCCTGGGGCCTGGGGAGAATGACGCTAGCCCTGCAGGCTCACAGGGCTGTCACAAGGGCCCAGGGATGTGAAATCCACTCAAAATGGGAAAAGCATTCTATGCTGCAAAAGCCTTAGAGGAGATGCTGCAAGCAGCAGTGTCGCTGTGAATGGCAGGCCGGTTGTGCACAGCACACCTAGGTAGCCTCATTCACGTCTCTGTCTGCAGTCTGCAAAGCGGAACCCAGCGGCCCGGGGTTGGGTGATGCCACGGACAGCGGCACTGCGCTTGGCGAGTCTGAGGGAAGGCGGCTTTCCCTGCCGCTGGGCCTTTTCTGCCGAGTGACCGTGTCGTCTCGGAGACCCTGTCGGCTCCCTGTGGCTCTCCTCACCGCGCCCCGTGCACGGTGTGACCTTCTGTGCTGACTGACACCTGACGGCGGATGGGTTCATTCTGCTGATGGGGCCTGGGGCGACGCAGGTGACACCAGAGATGTGGCTCCACATGGCAATTGTTATACTTCCTTGAACGCACGACACTTTTTTTTTTGAGTTGGAGTCTCACTCTGTCACCCAGACTGGAGTGTGGGGGCACGCTCCCAGCCACCGCAGCCTTGACCTGGGCTCCGGCAATCCTTCCACCTCAGCTTTCCAAGTAGCCGGAACTGCAGGCGTGCGCTACCACACCCGGCTAATTTTTGATTTATTGTAGAGACGAGATCTCGCCAAGTCCCGGGTAGGTCTCGAACCTGCAGGCTCAAGCCATTCACTCGCCTCGGCCTCCCAAAGTGCTAGATTTACAGGCTGAGCCAACAAGCCCGGCCACATGACGTTTTTCAAAGCAGAGGCTGCGGTCAACGAGAGCCGAGGCTGCCAATGCCACGAGCTGAGAACTAATCACCCCCGGTCTTGAAGTAGACGGGACAGACCCGATCTCCTCTGGCAACTCAGGCGTGTGCATTTTCCAATTATTGCCATGAAAACATCCTCCCAAAGTCTGCCCACCTCCCTCCTGCTCTGGGTGAAGCCCTGGCTGTTCCCGGGGGGCGCAAGGACACTGGAGGGAGGCGCTCCTGTCACAAATCGCCTTCTGTCCCTTGCTCTTGCCAAGGACACGATTCTGCATATCCAAGAGCCCTGGAATCCTCGCTGTGGTGGCCCCTCTAGCGTGAAGTCAGGGAGCCTCGCTTTGCGGAGATTCTGTGGTGGGACGACATGCGTAAGGAGGGAGAGAAGCACGCCTTCTTCCAGAAGATGGAGGTGGCGACATCCTCTCCCCTTCGTCCCGGGTGGACCCAGCTCGCCGGGACCCAACCCTCCCCTGGGGTGTGACATCCGCGTCCAGGGGTGGCCCTTGCTGGTCCCCAGCCTTCCCCGACTCGCTGGCCAGATGGCCTCTCCAGACGCCACCTGGGAGGTGCCAGCCTTTGATCCGGTCCCCTCCCTGGCCCAGAGGGACAGGGCTGCTGAAGTGGCCAGGCTAGGTCCTGTACACCTGTGACAGCTGAACTCTGACCATTGTTTTCCTTTTCCTTGCCAAATTCTGGTGTTAATGTGATTTACTCTCCAACCCAATTCTGGCGGATCAAGAAGGAACATCCAGGTGTTTTATGACCCCGCAAAGCTGTCTTTTGGGGACTCTGGCATCTTTTATTTTTAGGGACGAGGTCTCACCAAGTTGCCCAGGCTGGTCTCGAACTCCTGCCTCAGCCTCCCAAAGTTCTGGGGTTGCAGGCAGGAGCCACTGCACCCGGACTCTGTCATCTTTTTTTTTTTTTTT